AATTTCTTTACCGATAAGTTCTGTGCAGTTGGAATAAGAAAAAGCAACTCTATAAGGTTCTAATTTCTCAGGATAAATATCTTTTACTTCCATGCTCAGGTTTCCACCGGCAATGTCAAAAATTAAATTGGCTGCACGCACCAAAGCGGTAACCGTTATATCCGGATCTGTTCCTCTTTCAAAACGAAAGGAAGCATCTGTTTTTAATCCGTGTTGTTTCGAAGAACGGCGCACAAAGCCCGGATCAAAATAAGCGCTTTCTAAAAATACTCCTGTTGTTTTTTCAGTCACACCGCTGTCAGCGCCTCCAAATACTCCGGCAAGACACATGGGTTCGCTTGCGTTGCAAATCACAAGGTCGTTGCTTTTCAAAGTGCGTTCTACATCATCCAGCGTTTTAAATTTTTCGCCTTCTTTTGCTGTTCTTACAACTACTTTTTTACCTTTTATTTTATCAAGATCAAATGCATGTAAAGGCTGACCTAATTCATGTAATACAAAATTGGTAATGTCAACTATGTTGTTGATAGGACGCAGACCAATGGCCTGAAGACGATTCTTTAACCAATCAGGACTTTCTTTTACTTCCACACCTGTAATGACAATTCCGGAGTAACGTTTGCAGGCTTCAGGATTTTCAACTACAATCTCCACTTCATTAATACTTGTTGCTTCTCCAAGCTCGTGCAGACCCTGAATACAGACTTCGTGTTTTTTTTCTGAGTTTTGTGAATTTAAAATAGCGGCCAAATCCCTTGCTACACCTAAGTGTGAAGCAGCGTCGCTTCTGTTTGGAGTTAAACCAATTTCAAAAACAGTATCGTTCTCTACTTTAAAATATTCGGAAGCAGGTGTCCCGATAATAGTACTGTCTGGTAAAATCATAATACCGGCGTGACTTTTGCCAAGACCAATTTCATCTTCAGCGCACAGCATACCTTCGCTCACAGCGCCACGGATTTTTGATTTTTTTATTTCGAAAGGCTCGCCTTCACTGGGATAAAGTTTAGTGCCGATGGTAGCAACAATTACCTTTTGATTAGCTCCCACATTTGGCGCACCGCAAACAATAGAAAGCAATTCTCC